GTTTAGCTGCGTTTCCCCGACCCCCCCCTCCCTCACGCCCTTCCCCCTCGGGGCCGAGCGAGCCTCTTCCGCGCCTGACTGACTGACCGGGAGGAGAAGCGGCGCTGAGGGGGGCTGCTGAGGCAATTTACCTCACCAATTTTACCTCACCAGCCAGGCTCGGGGCTGCTTCTTCCTCGCCTTTAAAAACCTCAATTCGTCCCGAAAGCCCCCCATCCACACACACACCCCCTCTCCTGAACCCGGCCGCACTCACCCTCCACCCTGGACCGCAGCTCCGACACGGTCCTCTGAACGGCGGGCATCTCTCTCCTCGTCGCCTCAGGCGGCCACCAAGGCGCGCGCTCCCCTCAACAAGGCTGAGGCGCCTTCTCGCGCTCCCTCCCGCGCGCATGCGCGTGCGCGCAACCCCCCCCTCCTTTCTCTTCCCCCCCTCCCCTTCTCAGGGACCCCCCGCGGCTGCGGTCGCGAGACCACCTCTCGGACACCTGCGCCTGCGCGCCCAGGCAAGCCCGGCTGCCGGCGGGCGCGCGGGCGGCTCGCGTGCCCGCCCCTCCTTCCCTCCTTCCCTCCCTCCGACCGGAATGTACCAACTCTCTTGAAGGGTTGGGGGGTGGGTAGGGAGGGAAAAGACATCCTTTTCGACCGGCCTTTGGAGCGGCGGTGGGACGAGGAGACGCGCTTTGCCCTTGCCGCTACGTCTGTAAGCGTGTGTGTGTGTGTGTAAACGTGCGGGGAAAGGGTCTTTTTTTTCCCCCTCCACCACCCATCAACCCGACCGACTCCCCTGCGCTTTCAAGGATCGATAATGGAAGAGGCCGGATTGAAGGCGGGGGCGGAGCCTGGCAAGAAAAGGGGCGGGGGGAGGGTATAAAAAGGCCGGTGGCGCGGCGCTCCACCGGCGTTTGCTGAGTTGGTGCGAGGTGGGAATATATGGGTGCTGGGAACCAAATTTGAGAGTTGGCTATTTACTTTGTTACGAATGTACCACCCCCTCCCTTTTAAGGTATGAAACCTGTGAGCCTTTTTGTATCCCGTAAGGATCTGGTAAAGCCTGGATGGGAGACCACCAGGAAATCCCAAGGCTCAACCAGGGAGTTTTGTCTCTGCACACAAAGTGCCACAGACATTTAGACTATTGAAAATGAAAATGAATCTCTGCAGT